TATATAGAATGTTTTTCATGGCCCGGGCTTTAAAAAGTTTAAGTAACAATACGGGAACCTGCAGAGGAATGCAAAGGAAAAAATTCTCAGGACCATGTGCGGGGATCTTTTCTTTAGGGACAGGGTCATTTTTTGAACGGAAAATACTGCATGGCCCGAAGTCGCTCCCTAATTCAGAAATTTGCGGTTAGCTAATTTGTCGCAATGCACAAAATAACAGCACAAGGTGCGGAACCAACAACGTTTCTTGTAATTTTTCGTTATTTCAACATATCTGAGATGACAGGGGATGCGCTCAATATTTTGTCGTCCCTCTGGCAGCCCTACAGGTTCAGTTAGTGTTGTATATCGGCCGGCCATAAGGGGGTGGCATAGACAACCACTTAAGACACAAGAACTGAAAGAAAGGTAAACACACCTATTTCAGTTCGAAAAATCAAATCCTATGAGTATCAAAATACAGGTATCTTATGGATAATTTTGTTGTTTATTATAATTATAAAAAAGGTTTTAGCATGGAAGTTAATTGGGCAAATTTATTAGGGTGGGGTATCAGAATTTAAACGCCGACAATAACTTTAACAAGTGAATTTGGACTGAATAAATACCTAATTCCTGACAAAAAAAAAAATTCCACCAAATAATTCTGGAAGTCCTAAGGTTGGTCGCCATTCTATATACTATGACACAAAGGACTAGTGGCCATAACCATTAGCTTAATCTACTTGAGGTATATCGAACGGACCCAGGTATTCCCTTGGGCGGGCACATTTAATTAACAAAGTCACTAATCAAAATATCTATCGTATTCTGATCTATCTATTATCTTCGTATCATATCTCTTATCAAAACTAAACTCATATTCTTCTTCTATCATATCTAATCTATCTTAAAGCATCCCTTTGCTTCAGGCTTTAGTTGCTGCTAACTGAATAATTACATAAAGAAACTAGTGTTTCATTCAACCACCAATCCCTTTCCAACCACTTTGCTCCTGCCAAGCTTACAACCCTCACTTAAAATGGGTACTTTAAGTTTACAGGAGTGATCTGAACACATCCAGGCGAGCAAATGTTCAAATAGGATACAAGAGAGATCCTGAGATGGCGATAACACTCCATGCTGGTGGCGAATTCTTAGGAAATTTATAATGAAAACTCACAGTAATGCAACACTCTCCCTGAATGCATTATTCAATAATGGAGAAAGTTGGTCTTTTCGCGTGGCTTATTTTTTTGGGACATATGTGTGGGTTTGTGGGCGGGGCGCGTTGGCACTTCTTAACAAAACTATGACTCATCTTTGGCCCTTTAGAAGGCAGAGCTGTTTTCAGATGATACAAAATCCTCTCACCATTCTTGTGGAGACAAACAACTGCCAGGTTGGATAAGATAGCGCACATTTTAACACTTCAGTACACAGCTTCCAGCATTTATTTTAGCAGGATGAGCTGATGCTAACGTGGTTTTATCTAGTGCATTTTGATACAAAGGGATTAAACTTTACTGACCCCCATGAGCCAGTAATAGGATACAGCATACGTGAAATAGCATTGCAAAATGGGACATACACAACCAGTAATGACAGCACTACAATGTACGAAGTAAACACATAAATCGATGCAGTAAAGTATGTCAATAATGCAATGTAAATGTAACACGCAACATAAATTGGACGAATTATCAAAACTACAAACAAACAGTTTTTTGGCCACTTGGGGGCACCAGAAACAAGCTATAATCACAAGATTGACATACAATTTTAAATCGATACAGCTGAAAGTTGTTAGCGAACAGCTGTTAAATTTACATATCCAGCCGACACAGTGCACAGTGCAGCATTAGCATTCATTTGGAGTTGTGTTTCTGACGATCTGATAAATCTAATTCCAATATTCACTATGCTTTTAGCTCTATTCTCCACTAACTCCTAGGGG